TTTTTGATTAATTTTTAACAAAAGAATGCTGAATTTTTGATTAATTATCTTTGCAATACGTCTTGTCAATTTGCTCCAAGTGATATTTTTGATCGTATCAGTTACGTGTAAAAATTACTTCTTCATCTTCTGGTGATACTCTTAACATTTCTTCATATGAAAGTAAGCCTTATATATCGTTTCATAATTTTTTCCTACTGATTAATAATGTATAAAGCATATTTTAAGCCCTCTTGCGACCCTCTATCTTAAGAATATCTAACAATATATTTCATGTTATTACAATTTGCTGTGATAGGAATTATTATTAGATTATACGTCACAATCGTAATTATATATATATATATCTACATACAACTGTTATAAAACCATACATTAATTAAATCTCAGCAGAAAAATTACTTAACATTTAAATCATTTTCTTCTAATTAAATTATTTATTAAACTTTTTTAATAACTAAACACGGAATAAAAAACTATTTTAATTAAATTCATGTAAAAATTTATTATATTTTTTCACGAAAAACTGTTATTATATATATTATTACGTCAATATAATTAAAAAATTATGTAACAATTAAAATTAATTTGTATTGTTACGTAATAATGAAATGTTATGTACTGTTGAAACACAATGTCAATTTATTGATGTATAAAACTATTGCTATGACGTCATTTTGTTCAAATGTATTAAAATCGATTGTTGCGTAATGAGTATTATTATGACGTCATACATAAATGCCTAAATTTTTTGCATTGTTGCGTAAAAATAAAATGCTTCTATTCTATTGTTACGTAAACAATGTAATCTCTGTTATTATTATAGAGCTCAAAAAATTAATTATGATGTCATATTATAGAATTACAGCGTAACAATATGAATATTTTCGTATGGTGGCGTAACAATACAATGTTGTTCATTGTTGAAAAACATTTTTAAAATATTTTTAGTTAATAAATAATATTATGACGTCATATTTTAATAAACTATAAATGTAACTAATAAACTATAAATATAACTTATAAAATATAAATGTTTTAGAATTGTTTCATAATAATATAATAATGTAACGCGCAATTATTACGTAAGAATATTGCGCGTTAAAGAATTTTAAAAATTTTGAATTGTTACGTAACAATATTTAACACATTTGCGATGTTATTAAAACTTATTATTACGCAACAATGCAAAAAAATGCCTTATGTAATAGAACTATTTTCGTTTAACGTAATAATAAAAGAGTTATCATATTTTTTCAGCGTTAATGATCAAAAATTATAAAATTTTATTAATTTTATCATTTTAGAAATAATAAAAAATATTTTAAGACACTAAATTATAAAAAAATATTACAAATAACATTTCTGTTTACAATCTATGAATTATTAAAATAATAATAATAAATATTCACAGAAAATACATTTAGAAATGAAAGTAAATTCAGTAGAAGAATGCTGAAAATCATAACATAGAAGGAAAAAGAAAAACAATCAAAGCTTCATCTCTTATAAAATTGCAATTTAAACTGAAAGCATCGAAACAACAATAATAATAATAATACAAACAAAACTCCTGTTTTACTTTAACAAAGCCATGGCCTCCATTCTTCTCAATATTATTTTCTCGTGCCTATTTTTTTCAATGAAGAACGAACGAATAGGTAAATTTCCCTATAGCAAAGTCTGTAACCTCTTCTGTCATAAAATATACTATCCAAACCAAGTAGTTGTAAAGTTAAAAAAATAAAAATGGAAGAAGAAGAAGAAGAACCGAACGTACTTTGTCAGATTGCTGAAGTGATAAATGGTAATGGCTACCCGCTTTTCTAACTGTAAACTGCTACACTTTTTCAACCCCCCTATCCGCAATAGATAACTTAGAAACGTATAGGATCTTTGAACGTCCGATTTTTGTACGATGGATGGGATAGTTGCATCTAAGAAAAGACTCAGCTCCTACGAAAATTCAGCTTCCTGTAGGGAAAAATAAGTAGAATTGTGTGAATGTGGTAATGTAAGTTCATTTAGTTTGGCAATATTTTCTTAAGAATATCCCTTCTTCTATTTTTTATTATTTTTTTTTATTTTTTTACTTGCATTATTATCGTCTTGTCTGAAGTATTAAGGATTCCATAAATCATCTTAGATGAATTTTTTTTATTTAATATCTTCATAAATCACACCAACAATATTTTATTTAAATGTGGATAAAATGTAACATTTCACTATGATTTATTGCTGGAGGGATATATAAGTTGCTCGGGTTAAATTTATTTAATAAAATTCTTTCTGTGGAGTGTCTTACTCGAATCAATTAAAGGAACAATGAGTGCATGGTCAAAATTAATTTTTTTTCCATCCCTCCCCTTCTAATCTGTGTTTATGATGTACAGATTTATGTTTTCTTAAATTGTTTCTGTCTTGTTTCACGTATTATTTTTATTTTAGCGACTTTATTTCTATCATTTTATCTATATTAATGTCTAATTATACTTAAGTTTGCCCCTAGTTTTGCTTTAGATTCATCGTCATCAGTGTATTCAATTTTGTATGATGCTCTGCAGCTACGTATTCATCCCTATTTTGCTTTATTTTACTTGATAATTTACTTGAATTTAAATTTTTCTTCACTTCTACTTACATTTATCTACGCTTAAGATCAAATTGTAGCCATAAATCTATATTCTCTTATATTTTGCATCACTTCTTAAATAATTCATACTTTTTAAGCTGCGAATGTCTATGTATTTAACTATTTTTAATTATTATATACATTACTTAAGTTATATTTACGTAAACTTATGTTTAGCCTTACAAAACCTCCTTTAATTTTAGAATTAAATATGTTTTCGTAGACAAGTATCTCTAGCTGTAGCTATATCCAAAACTTTAACCCAAATCCTTCTTTAGCTGTTGAATTTAGTTATACATTTTTAATTCTATATTTTGTTCCACCTCATCCTCTTCAGAAGTGCTTACGAAATGAATCAACAAAGCAAAATAATTTCTAATTTCTCTGGTAATTAATGAAGATTCTCATCTACATACGGGTGCATTTATGAACGCGTGCATACACATAAAGCTTAGTCTTATTGCATGCATTCTTCTGAAGAATTGATTAAACTTTAAATTTAAGAATAGGAAAAAAATCCTTTTTTTGTACTTTTTTTGTACTGTTTTTGTTATAAAAAACACGAAATTATTTAATTTTTTGTGGAGTGAACATGCCCAGTCATAGAATAGATCGAGATCAGCATCAAAGATGTCCAAAACAGGTGGTAGATGAGGTTGAAAACTCACCCAGAGGGTTAAAATCGTTGGTAGTATTCAGATTCTCTGCATTCATCTCCACCTCTTATATGTAAGATGGCCCGTTTTTTGCTAATGGCCGGAGGAGGAACGATACAAAAAACCACCCTGACTAATCACTAAAACTAAATCACCGTCCTCTACAAAAAACAGACTAAATTAACTGTCTGTCTTTGACATTAGTCTTTGGAAGATCATCAATTATGGACAAGATTCTGTTATAGTTCAACGTTCTCCCCCCTCTTTAAAGAATGCTGTAATTGAACTTGTAGATATTGTGGGGTGAAAATTAAGTAAATTTCAAAGTTTTTATTAACGTTATTTTTAAAAGAAATAATGAAATGCGAAGCAAATTAACAAATTTAATCTTTCAATTCGATTAATTTGTACTTTTTTTCTTTTTCCCTCCCTCCCTTCTTCTTTTTTGAAAATATATTTATATGTATATAAAGAACTTGCAGAAGGGGGAGGGAAATGCTAAGAGAGTTGTTAAAAACTGTAATTTGCACGGTCATAAATTAATCATCTTTTTATAATTAATGCGATTCTTTAAATCAACCGTAAAGTTTTAACTTAATAAAGAGGAAAAAGTGTGAAGTAAATTATGGTTTGGAAGTAAAATTATGTTAAATATTTTAATATGTTTCTTTTGTTTTTTCTTTTTTGTATGTAGTATGAGTGATTTTTATTGAAAAAGTGAAACGTCAACGATGCGATGCGTAAATCCACCCGTGAAAGATGATGCGGATGCATTCTGATAGAGATGATGATGTTCTTAAATGCACGTGCCCAGCTTTAAAATGGTTTTGTGTGTATGCTATGAAATATATTTTAATTTTGGTAAAGAAACACAATGCGATTTAAATTTGTTTAACTTCAACATTTCAATAATGAATGGCTTATAAATCTGTAAAACTAGATGATGGTATTCCTAAATGCGTGCTTAGATAATGCTGCTGCTAAATGCATGTGCATAGATGATATGAATCCGTGCGTAATAAGTAAATGATGTACTGGCATGTGTGAATAAGAAGCTGTTAATGATAATGTGTATGGATGATGCGTGCATGGAAGCGTTTGCGTGGATGATGCCTTGCACGAGTGCGTGTAGAAGACATTGTGAATGAATCTTTGAGTGTAATGCGAGTGCATGTACGGATAATGCTTTACATAAATGATTATGTGCTGATCTATGTTGTGAATAATGCAGTTCACGATCGACTTTATAGATGATTACCCACAGAAACTAAGTTTAATTAATTAAAAATTAATACTTCCATACACAAAACTTTTTGTAGACTATAATATAACTAAAAGTAAATTTTTGTATACGTATTAACATTTTTTATCGATTGCACTTATATAAACAAATAATTATTGTAAAAAATATTCAACAGGTAAGTAGTTCTTACAGATAAATGACTCTTCTACTTGAATGATCCATATCTGTGCATGCTTGCTGTACAGATATGGATCATTCCACCCGCTCATCACAAAAGTTAACACACTTATATGCAGAAATAATAACTTTTTATGCAAGATTCAACTTTAAAATTAATTACAAATAAGCGAAGTAAGGTTTTATCACTTCTTTAGTATCTTACACACCATAAAACTGAAGCACCAACTAAACAAATACATATATTTATACATAATATTCTCGTTTTTAAAATTAAGAAAGACTTACTTACAGTTCATTTCCAGAGTTATAGAAGATGAAGTTGGGACGGATATGTTATTATTCGATGCTTGACATATATACACAGCCATCAAGTCCAATCTCTTAAGGACAGCAATCTCCAATTCATTTCTTACAGTATTGGGTGATGTTACCTCATGAGTATCATCTAGTAAGATGGTGCTCTTCCACCAAGTAAGGCTAGGCAATGGTTTACCTGTAAAGACAAACGGGACATTGTCACAGGAACGACATTGTGAACTTTAACTATACCTTGGGGCATGTTAGATTTCTATTTTGTTTACCTGATGAATAAAATATAATACCGCTTGTGTCTTCAGTAATGACCTCTCTAAGTGATTTAAACTATTAACATACAAGGCAAACCTAATCGAAACTGTCTAACTTTATTCCCTAAACTGAATAATGGTGTTTAATTTTGTAAGGATCCTTAAAGAAGAATTAAACAAAGCATCATTTTACTTCCCGGTTTGTTATACGTGACACGGGGAAAGTATGGCGATCGGTTAAAAAATGACTCCACTCCCCAGATTTTTACATTTTTTGAACTTGGAGGACCTTGAAACGTTCAGAAATTTTAAAAAATGGAATTTTTATCTGTGCTTATTTGAGGGAATCACGATATTGTTCACCCAATTTAAAGCTGATTAACTCCTGCGACTTTTGTCGAAAATTTCTGAAATTTTGCATGGAGGATGATGTATTAGAAGGGTTTATGCTACCAAATTTCCGTTGGTATAGGTCAAGAGAATGGAGAGATAGAGGGGTCACGTTTCACATCTCGAGTGAGGTCGAATTTAATGAAGACTTTACTTGTTATTAGTATTTACAACTTTTGTTTCTTTTATAAAACACATCTCTACCCTCAAAATTAAGTTATTTTGCATTTTACACAACTCGTTACTAAATCTTTCTCATTGTAAATTCGTTTTTTAAAAAAGCTGAAAAAATATATTATAATCTTGTTTTTCTCGGTAGTAGAACATACTTAATCTTAAAGGCTATCAGGCTGATCTTTTACTTACACAGAATCCAACTAACAAACTAAGTAATCACGAGACACGCTGTAAATTGGTGGATTCAAGTCTCTCCACCCGCACCTTGAGTAATCTCTTGAGATCCCTATTGCAATCACAACAATTAGTTAATTGAGTGCTGAGAAGATTGAAGAAGGATCTATAACTCTTATACTTCTCTTCAACAATAGGGGTTGGGTGCTAACAGTAGAATGCTTTTTATAGATTTGTTGTTCATCATTGTATCGAATGTCGAAAAAAAGTTTTCAGCTGTAAAATTGTGTTAGCGCCCAATACTTTGATATAAATTAATTTATTGTCTTCTATATTTAAATATATTTATTTCTTCATCAAATTTTGATATAAAGGATCATAATTTTTTGAAGAAACTCGTGAAATTTGCCATAGAAAACTAACTCCAACTCTCCACTCCATTCTACTCTTACTTTAAAGAAGTAAACTAGCATCAGTTTTTTAAGAAATTAGAAAATTTGCTTTTAATAGTGTAATATTTGCCAAAATTTATTAAGAATTAACTTAATTTTTAAAAATACATAAGTGATTGTCTTCTCTAGAATCATGTGCAAAACTAATTAATTAAAACATAAAATTTACGTGATTTTAACTATAAAAATGTACAATAATAAATAACATAGATTATATTTTAATTTTTGCATAAATTTACTTATAAATTTTTAAAATATTTTTTAAAACTCACACGAAATATGTCGAAGAACAAAAATTATTTTTAAGCAACAAAACTTTTTCGGATCCACTACAAAAATAAGTAAATTCTATGTAAATTAAGTATAAATAATACATAATTATTAGGTTTATTTACAAAATAATACAAATTAAAAATTAATTTCAATGAAAACAACTGATGAAGATTTATTCATCAATCAGTAGACCGCGATCTCTTAGACTATTTCAAATCCTGTGCTATGTGCGATGTTAAATCCGGAGGTTGGAAAGCTGATGTATTGAATCGACTGTATCCGTTAACATAAAAGAAATAAATAAATCTAATGGGATATTAATTATTATTATATTAAAATAAACATAACTGATGTACAAATAATCGATTCTATGACAAGAATAAATTGCTAGAAACATTTTTTAGAGCTATACAAACAAGTTGTAACCAAGCAAAACACATGTAGCTATATGTTACAAGTTTGTTATTTTGTTTCTCTTTGCTACAAGTTGTGTTTTTCAGTAGCAACAAAATAATATCCTGGGGTTGTTTTTAGATTGTAAAACTCTAAATGCATACATTTATCGATTAACTAGCCAAATATATAATAGGTAATTTAATCACCCTTAAACTACTTTAAATAAAATTAACTCTTTTAATAGATGTTTAAAATAGTTTACATTGTATAATGACATTAAACATCATTAAATAACGTCTCTTTAAACAACATTAAACTACTTTAATTTACATTAAATTACACCGAACAACATTAAACAACGTTCAAGTACTTTAAAACAATGAAGAGTATTAAATTATTTTAATCATTAATTTAACCATTATAAACAATTTTAAACAATACCGAACACCATTAAATTATTTTAAAACAATATTAAACAACGTAAACGACTTTAAACAACAATTTTAAATTAATCTAAATAACATCATTAACCGACAGAAACGACTTTAAATAGCATTAAACAACGTTAAAACGTATAGTAAACACGCAGAAACCCGACTCGACTTGATTCAACATCAACAGAACATTGAGAGCATTGTAAACAACATTAAGCACTTTAATCAACATTAACAAACTGTAAACAACATTCGACAGTTGTTTAAACAAAAGGTGTAAATTATTTTAATCATGAAACGAGATTAAGTAGAAACAGGTTTAAATTTCTAATCAAGAAAACAAGCAAAAATTATTGTGACATCATCACAATGCCGGACTGCAATTCTCAATCATATTTTAAATTTATTTAATTTATTTTACACGCTCTCGATCTCAAATTAGTAGTATTTCCCCCTGTACATCATACTTTTCCTGACAACAACGGAGTAGTGCCGGTAGTCAGAGGAAAATATTTGAATTAAAATCACGTGGATTCTGGTCTATATCGGACGTTAATATATAGTTAGTTGAGGCCTCCTACTCCTACGCTTTCCATATCTGTTTTCGACTTCCATCTATCTGACTCCATCCTCGAGATTAAGAAAGGACAGACAAACCAAGGATGGTGAGAAATTTATAGATCTATAATATTTTTAAATTGTAGCCCAATAAGGTAAAGAATATCAACTTGTATATTTACAAACTGAGAACAAATGAGAGGGCATGCGATAATTTACTGTACCAGGAAGCAATATCGAGTGATAATCAGCAAGTGATGCAGAATCGAATTATAATAAATGACACGAAATCCCTGGCGATTTAACACTGCATAATGTGTTTGTGATTGGAGAACATGAACGTTGCTTTACACGAAATTCGCTGGAGGATGCAAGACGGATAATGAAGATGATTTTTCATGCATCATTGAATTATCTCTCGGGTATATTCAATGAATATTATAAGAATGATTAGCGTTTTAATGAATGTAGCTATTTATCTTTTGAATAATGTTCGAAGTCATTTATCTATGGTAATTTTCGACGTGACGTACTTCACATTTTACGTAACAATAAGGATAGATTACGCGTAACTTTTGACGTCACCTTTTATGTGTTTTGTAAGTGAACCCAATTGTGATTATCTCATGTAAAATTTGATGTTACGTGAATTTTTTTAAAGCTATCGGAGCATAAGTATGATCCATTCGAGGTAAGTTGGTGTAGTTTCTCGCAGAAAATAGATTTTTCTATGACGTAATTAGCATAATCTGTTGCTGTTCTAGAGCATAGGCGTGAAGAATTTAATTACTACAAAATAAATTTGAGAAATTCTTCTCTTGTTATTTTAAATGCAAGTAATTAATTTTATAAACTCGAGCATAAAAACATCGTTGATATATTTTTTATATCTGTGTACATAAAAGTTAAAATATGTATGTATGTATGCATATTTGTTAGGCAAAGACTTCGACGTATTCGCGCCAAGTTTGTCACGAATATTCTTTGTCACCCTAGAAAAATATTGTGGGAGTTTCCATCCCTAAAGTCTACCCCGCTCAATATTAACTAGAGCAATTTACTGTGTTTTGCAGTTTCATAATTGTAACTATAGTTCAATAAATGTACATTTCAGTTAATCCAAGTGTACATGCACGTGAGCAATAGCTGAAAATAAGCGTAAACAGCAATCTATGATAGCTACGAACGTGATAAGTGTGAGCATATTTGCTCACAATTAAGAATTTAAACCAGAAATTACCACACATCAAGCAATAAATAAATAATCACGAGACAGCAACAGCGTCAGATTATTCACTCAAATTTTCTCATATTAAGGTTGATAATAGACGAAAATCAGACGTAATTAAAAAATAATAGTGAATTTAAATAATAAATAAGTGAGTTGGGTCGATAATTAAGAAGAAAACAATGAGTTAAGCTATGCATAAGGGAGATGAAAGAGCAAGAGCAAAAGGAGGAAGGAGGAGGAGGAAAATAAGGAAGAAAAAAAGTATCTTTCAACTAATTCTTATTCTGATGTGCAATGGAAGAAAGACACGCTCCATTTTATTTCATTGATTTTATCATTAGTGCGAAAACAGCATTACGTGATTTTCTTCAAACATGAATAAACATGATACTTCTATAGTTACTACCTTACAAAGCTTAGAGCAAATTAAGGATTTCATCGAACAATTAATGACTATTTCCTCTTACATAAAATGCAATTTTTTTCCATGAAATTTTTTTGCATTTTTTAAATATTTTTTCCGGGTAAATGAATTGTGTTATAGGTTATATAACCTCATAAGATATTCACAGTACGTTTTTTGCGTATAAATTTTTGCTTATTTCTTTTTTTTATCGAGGAAGGATGATACAACGCATGCATAAATAAGTAAATGCTATCGACTTAAATGGGTTTTTATCAACTATTTTATTTATTATCCCACTAAAAAAACTATAGAGACGATTAATTTATGGATATTAAATTTTAAGAATGAGGTTAATAAAAAATAATTCTGTAAAATTATTTGAATTTTTATCATTTTTTTTACTCTCCATCCTCCTCCTCCTCCTCCTCTTCCTACTACTAGAATCTGTATTCGAGTTAATGTAGAAAGTACCAAAATTTATTTAATTTTTTGGGGATTTTTTCTTGAATTTTATGCTGGATTTAAATGAAAAATTCTTAATTATAGTCCAGTAGATATTTCTAAGCTGGGAAATTGTGTATTTTGTTGTAATTCTTGGTTATTTATGGCTTTAGTTTATTCAATTTTATCTTTAAAAAAGGCGATTTAATCGAGTGGAGAGATAAAGGAATTTTTTTAGTGTATAACTCTACCGAATGTAACAGGATTACCATTTAAATTATGGTTAAATAATGAAGAGTCGATTATAGCTTAAATTGTGTATTTTAGATAGTTTATGTGGTTACGCGTGACTCTCAGCTTCCAAGTAATGTAGGATTAAGAAGAAATATAAAGCTGTTATTCTTTCTTACGAAGTGTTACAATGGCCTTTTTTGTTGTTTTTATAAAGAAATAAAATGAAAGAATTGAATTCTTGATCGTGTAGATGTTAATAATGTATCCATACTTAATATGATGCTGCAGGATGCGGATGCTGTATCCAATGATGCGGAGTTTGAAAAAATGGAATAAACTATTTATTCTAACTTAATTTAAGAGGTAGATTTTATATAAATATCTCGTGATATAAGCTACGATGCATGTCTAAGTGTATGTATATATATAAGGGTAAAAGATGCTAGGGATACAAAGAAGGAAGCTAAACGAGAGTAAAGTGAAGATTATTTCTGTATATTTCAGGATAATTATATTGTACATCCTGATGAGGATACTCATTCTATGACTATAATATTATATTTAAGCATTTATAACTAAAAAAGTAGGAAAAATAGTATAAATAATGATGCAGATGCCGTAGAAACAACATTTAGGATGATGCATATGTTGTGATGTTATCGTATGTGATGATGCAAATATGGAAGTGATAATGTAAAGAATTATAACAGATTTGATAATAATATAATGGTGATACAGCAGTATAATTAACATATTAACATATATATATATATATATATCTTCAGTAATTGGGTGTTAAAGCTAATACTAAATAATTTGCATCATAATAATAGTGTGGCATTCTATATAAGAATTCATGTAAATTATATATTATCTGAAATTATGTAAATCTTATAGTAGTGGAATGGAATAAGTAGATTAAAATGGAAGAGAATGCGTGAGGAATTGGACTAACTTTTGTGAAGAATAGTTTATTCTGGAAAATAGTGTAATTGGAATAAAAGTATAAGGAATACTTGACGTGGTATTAAAGTAGAAAAAATGCTGTGAGGAGTAAAATAAGTAAAGTTTAAATTGGATAAACATGATAAAGAATAGAATTAGCAGAGTTAAAATTGGATAAACACTACAAGGAATAGTATAAGTAGAATTAAATAAGAAGAGACTATGCGAGGAATAGCATAAACTGAATTAATATTAGGTAAACATTATGAAGAATAGCATAAACAGATTTAATATTGGTTAAGTTTATAAGGAATGACAAATGAAGAATAATAAATGCAATAGTCTTTTAATGGGAATAGTATAAGAAGATTTAAAATAAAATGAAAACTATGGCGAATAGCACAAGTAAAATAAAAATATATAAGAACAGAAGAAAGAATTGCATAAATACAATTATAAAAAATATTATAAAAGTTCATAATTTCGAATGGCATATTTTTATTTTATTTCTTTACACTGTTTACTATAAAATATACTAGAAAATAAAATACCTGGAAATGTTGTAGAAAATAATAAAATCAAACAATATTTACAATCGAATTTTCTCAAATTTACATCATTTTTCTAGTATTAAAATTCAGCACTACTTTCACCACGAGGCACTACTTGTTACTGCTGAATAATATCGATTTGCATTTAATTAATTATTCGTGAAAACTCATTATCTCTAGTAAAACATCAGGAAAATGAAAAGCGGAAAAAATACAAACTGATTTTATTGAGAGATTCCAGGAAAAATATTTTTTAAAATGAATCTTCTGTATCTTTTAAGCACTCTTTAACTTCTGAATAATTTCTCTCCTTAGGGAATACTTGCTCGACTAACAACGTGTTCGTGGTTATATATATATACAAAATTACTTATTCTCCTTTAGGGTAGCTGCAGTATCATTTTATATAATTAGCTAAGTAACAAATTATGAGTTTAAAGTATATAGATCTATAATAATTAAAATATACGAAAATAAGTTTTATAAATAGAATGTTCGATTTTGTGAAAGAAAAACACGCATTGCTCTAAGCTGAACTTGCAATTTTTATTCGCGAGCGTACTTGCTGCACACGAAAACAATACAGCATTAACTAACTTTTGTGCCACCTTGTGTATAATCGTAAGTATACTCTGCTGTGACGTATATAGAAAATACAGAAATGCACGGTTAACTGACTTTTGTGTCAACTTGTGTATATGTATATATACGTAAGTATACATTGTACATTACACACAAGACATACATTCCCATTACACGCGAGACACACACACACAAGACAAATAGGTACAGTACACACACATTTACATTACATCTAAGAATTACATACTCATATTTATATTATACACAAGGCATTCTCATTTACATTACACGGAAAGCAAACAGACACAAGATAAACAGGTACATGCACCTACACAAGCACACATTATATACAAAGCACACTTACACATACACTTAAACATACACCTCTCAGGAACAAGATAGCCACCTTAAAGTCCATAAATTGCTCTTATTTAAGCACTTAATCACGTTCTTTAGTAATTTTGATACCGATGTTGAATTATGTCATTCAGTTCATAATCTACTTTAAAAAAAATAAGAAGAATATTTTAAGCATGGCATACAGATGCTTAATGATGCTTTTAAACAAATAACGAACAGAGCAGGTGCACCTGATTGATATTGCTTTGCAAAATTATTCCATCTACTCTTATCGTTTCATAGTAGTAGTAGTAACAGAGGTAGTTTAGTAGAGAAGGACACGAATAACTTTCCTAATTTCACTTTCACTCTTCTAAATTTATGCAACAACACATGAAAGATAATTTACTGCTAAATTGATGATGCTGCAAAATGCGATAAATTTCTAATTTAAGCTCTTTTATCCTTTCCTAAAAGGATACAAACAACCTGATTAATTATTTCTACTAAAGTAAATTAGAGAAATTCGTTCTTCCTCTTTATTATAACGGAAAATTTTCATAACCTCTCACTCATTATTATTATTATTATTATTATTATTGAGAAATTAAATTTCTCATCCTTATATTTAGGATATAAATATATTTAAAAGCGGATTACTGTATAAATTGTATTTGATATTGAAGTTAACTATCATTATAATTGTATAATTAACTAAAAGATGATAAGGTGTTTAATTCATAAATTGTTCTCATTTTTCTTTATTCGTTGGTGTATGAGCCGTTTTGTTAGGAAACACTACTTAATTGCCTTCTGTTAATTGATTTGGATAATAGCTTTCTCGTTATAGAATATTGTAAATTAGCCTTTTAAGGCTGCTAAGTATTAGTGATCAGCCTTAGTAAAAACTAGGAAGTAACCTTATTTAAGTTGGTAAGCCTGCTTACTAAAAAGTAACAAGCCTTACTTGTTAGTAAAGCTAATTATTAAGAAATATACTTACTTCTAGTAACCTTCCCAGTAAGTAGCCTTAATGACTCATATTAATAGTCATATATCTCCGATACCCTGATTTGATAACGTGTAAATATTAGCCTTGTTGTCAATATATAACAGCTTTCTTATTAATACAAAGGCTATTATGTTATGCTGGTATTAAGAGGGCCATATTCTTACATACATATAACTAGGTAGCTTCAGTATAAACATGTAAGTTAGTAGCCTTATTATTAGTAGGCATATGCATCAATCTTATCAGTTGTATGCGTAACCTTCTTGTAAACAGGCATAGGTAAAGGTTCCTTGCTAAGAATGAAACCTATTATTTTTTTCTTATTAATAAACAGACGTAATAACTTCTGTAACAAGCAGAAAAAATAATATTTATCTAAGTATACATTTTTATTCTCACACGTTATACTTTAGTACATTGAAAGGAAATAACATTAATTAAAGTAAGTTAAACCATGAAATCTTTGGACATTGTTTACCAAATTCTTCTTCTTCATTATCGATTAGTTACGCTCTAATCAGGTAAAAGAGGACCCCCCCATATAGAAAATTGTAGAAGTGGGTCCCTCTACTTACCGCCTTCGGATTCGCAGATGAGTAAGAGTCGATCCCCTTCATTGTAGGGACCTATCATGCCCTGGAGCACCTCGCCGTTGTGGTCTTTGATGATGGGAATTCCGGGAGGCACTGGAAAGACAGCAATGGAAAAGAAATAATTATAATCTTGAAGCATACACACACGAAACTCTGATCTGTTAAGGTGATAGAGGAGCCTCTAGCTAGTTTGTAAGAGCCGCTGTGTAATTTCACCTTTCAAAATTTCATCATTTTCTCGCGTCAGGATGTCTGTCATTGTTTCTTTAAAGAATTCCTTAACGTGTGAGGTTAAATGAGACTCATATATATAGATATTCTCCATTTTTTTCTTTGTGTTAAATCATTTCGGAGGTGCCAAATTCAATTAAGTTTAGATGGTGTTCACGGGGTGTAATGAATGATTATTATATTTGTATACGGGGTTTTTTTTCAGTTAGTAAATGTTGTATTTAGGGTGGGGGGCCTGTTTTTGGGTGTTTTAGGGGTCGACGTTTAATTTAGTACGGACGTTAAAGGGGTTCCAGGATGCGGTGTGACCTTGTCTGTTACTTGTGTTTTCGGGTGTTGGATAAGGGAAGGGATGTTTTTAAGTGGAAAATTACGGATTAATAATGTTAAATGGGGCAATTTATTATATAGGAAGTGGGTTAATTTTATTATTTTAATTTTTACATATGTTAAAAGTATTCGAAGATGTATTGTAATTGCTTAATAGTGTCATTTATATACACTTATAGATATTTTTTTGTGTCGTGTAAGGTAAAGATAGAAAATTAAAAATCTAGGCTTTTTTTCAGCAAAATTCGAGCAAGATTTCGAAAATTTAGTCAAAAATCTATACTTTCGATTGAAAACTTCGAACCAAATCTTTGTTTACTTAAATTACCACTTACAATAAGTGATTCTTTTTACCGAATTCAACCTGTGAGCAACTGAAATCAATACAGTTTCCTGTTTAAAGAAGGTAAATTATTAGTTTCTTACGTAGAAAATGATTAAATCAGAGCAAGAATTTGAAATATTTTAATTTATTTTACAGTGCATAAAGTATAAATTTGATAAACAAACAAAAATAGAATTATTCTGTAAGTGTAATTTATAAATCTCCTAAACTCAGTAGTGTGTTTTTGGTAAAATTCGGAGAATAAATCACCAAAAAATAAGATAAAAATGCTCGTTTTTAGTTATAAATCTCATTAAGTTGGCAGAAATATCGAGAACAGTAAGAGTTACATTTAAAAAATTTAAGCAAAATTGATGCTCAATATCCAAAATTTCAGTCAAAATTAATGCTTACTATCAGAAATTCTAAAAGCTGTTACACACATGATCTAAGCTGGTTTTTTTAAAACAGCAAAATTCTAGTAAATATTAAATAAAAATATGAAAAAACTTATTAAATAATGTACAAAACAAAGATAATTTCTGTATTTTTTTTTTTTACAGAAAACAAAGGAATAAGGCTACCAAAATTAAGACTTGATTGTTTTAAAATCTCTAGAGGAATGCTGTATTGATTGTACTTTAAGTATTTTAAGAGTAAAGATAAAGGAAAAAATATATTGGGGGAAAAGAACTGTGATAGAAGTAAATATTCCTTGAAAAATTGTAAAATAAAATAAAGAAAAATATATCTATATCTTCAATTGAACGTTAATCTTTATTTTTTTATTTTATTTTTTATTTCTTTGTAACAATCAATCAAACGTCTCTTGCGAATTTAACGCTTCAATTGATGTTTCCTGTGAGGACTTAAATTGTTTTTGGATAAATCTTGAATATATTTGTTACTATAGAACGTAATAAATGTATTTTTAAGGATAATAAATTGTTTAAATTGTTTTCGAAAATTAAAAATCAATATTTAATAATGTAAGGTATATGAAACGTCGTTGATTTTCAATAATATCGTAAGGGATGAAGGGGGAAAATCAAATTTTAAATTACATTTAAATGGCCTATTGGGACTTTTTCTGTCTCATAGATTTATTTTAACATACTTTTACTTTCCTGGCTGTTACGTAACACAGGGAAAGTATGGAGATCGGTCAAAAAACGACCCTCCCCATCTTCAAGAATTCTGCATTTTTGGACTCTAGGAAGCTTAAAATGTCTAGAAATGCAAAAAATGACGGTTTTTTGTATGTAGAGATTTTAAAAATCCCCACATAAAGAAAACCGCCCTTTTTTTCTGCATTAGTGTGTTTGTGTGTGGGAACACGAATTTTTTTTTCACTTATTTGAAGCTTAATAACTCCAGTGCCTTTTGTCGAAAATTTCTGAAATTTTGCATGGCATTTTCAGTATTAAGGATAAATGGTTTCTGAATTTTTTAGGGAAATCTGACCGTTAGTTCGGGAGATATGGCTCACCACATTAATATCTCTCTAACCAATCTGAAGACTTATAAAGTTAACAGCAATTATTAAGGTGAAAAATTTTGAACTCGAATTTTGATAATTTTGGAATTTTATTTTATATTAAATCATTAAATTTTTTATAAATTATTTAATGTATTGATTGTATTTAACATCGTTTAAGCATATAATTTAATTATTTTTATATCTTTATATTTTCCAAATTCATTATATATGCTTCCTACTCATTATATTTAACTTCAATAAATTAAAATTAAGGCTTAATTTAATTATATTTTAAAACTGATTAAATTCAATTTCATTATAATTGATTATGTTCAATAACTTAACTTAATTATGCTAAAAAAAACTTAACTTTATCAGTTATTACATTACCAACTGATTGTATTCAACTGTATCAAATTCTCAATTGATTATGCTCAATTCCATTCAATTTTCGACTGATTATGCTGAACTCCAGTAATTTCCCAACTGATCATGTCCAACTCCATTATGCTCTTTAATTACAATCTTAATTGATTAATACTCAATTCTATTAAACTGCTTATGCTGAACTACTTATCACGTTCACCTCCATTAACCTCAAACTGCTGAATGCTCAAATTTATCACATTCTCAATTGATTATATTAAACTCCATTATGCTAAAAACTTAATTAAATTTAACATCATTAAATTTCCAACACGTTGAACTAATTATAATCAAGTTAAAGCATAGCAAAATTATGCTTTAACTTGACGAAATGGTTGAAAATTTCATAATTCTTCGAATAAGACTTGAATTAGTTCGGTTAATAACAACCTCAATATATGCAGGGTGGCCCAAAAGTCAGTTAACCATTTAATTACTGTTTTTATACGTAATAAAACTGCTCAAAATGAGACTTTTATTAGTCGACGGCTTTATAAATTATGAAATTCCTCGTATAAAACGCGGTTAACTGACTTCCGGGACAACCCGCATATAACGTTTACTCATAAATTATATAAAGTTCGTATGAGGTAGAGTTAAATTTAACTTTAAAACGATCCTGGAAGCACAATTGAAGAAGAAATAATGAAAATTTGAAGGAAACCAAGAATAATGCTGCGATTGTAACTTGATAAAGAAGAAAAGTTAAAAAGGAAGAAGTAAAATTTCCTCTTTTTTATTCCGGAAATTAATGGATAGATAGGGGAGATTTAAAGAAAGTTTGAGTAATGCGAAAACATTAACAAATGGATAAAGGAGGGTACTTGACTATGACCCAAGCGATCACGAGATCAATAAGTCAAAGTGCTTAGGTTAGTTCTACAGCTTCACCTTTAGGCATATCAATTCCCATTTGGATTGATGAAAATCGACAGTGAAGAAGGAAAAATTCAGCATTGACCCACAGGAAATATATATATCTATTTAGTGGCAACGACTGACAATTGACGTGAAAGCAAGACGATGTTGAAAACAAAAAAACGTACGTTTTCATTTCTTCTTCTATTTTATCTCCAGCTTCAATTGTTTCTTCTACTTTCTAATAAAAAAATCAATTTTTTTGAATAAATATCAGATTTTTTTGAGAAAAAATTTCTTTTTTTTATCTTTTCTTCTTACTTGAGAGCGTTAAGATGAAGCCATTTTTCTCAAACTTGCTTGTAAGAAATTTGATTTTTCTTAGATTTTGTGCGATAAAGTTGACTTTTTTTAAGGTTTTTTTTCGAAGAAATCCTCAATTTTTTTAGAATTTAATTTGGTTAATTTACCATTAGAGCTTAAGGAGTTCCCATAGAGGGTTGGAGATGTGTGGAAAGTAGCTTTATAACGTAATAAAGAACACTTCAGAGCCTTTGGGAAAGAGCAACTTGAACTTTTTAGAGTAAATTTTTATAGTTTTATTAGAATAAATCTTTAAATCTTTAGAATATAATTGAATTAATCATCCATTAGAATTTTGGAATCTTTCTAGAGTTATTGGGAGGGAGCAGATAAAAAATTCCAGTTAAATTAAATAGTTTTTATTAGAATAAAATTTAATTATTTTGAATTTAAATTAGTTAACACGTTATAAATTGTACACGCATTTGCCATTAGAAAATAATAAAAATAATTATGGAACTATTGGGAAGGAGCAAACTAAATTTTAAAGTAAACTTTTCATTGTGTTTTAGATTTTAAATGGACTGAATCTACCGTTTGAGCTTAATAATGAAATGCTCATGGATAAATTAATAAAGAAGGTAGTGGAGCCATTGGGAAAGAGTAAAATAAGTTTTAAGGATTTATTATAATAAATTCATAATATTTTTTAGAATTTAAACAGGTTAATCTACCATTAAAACTTAATCACAGGATGTTGCAGGTATCTTTATAACTTAATAAAGAAGAATGTGGAGCCATTGGAAGGGAGCTAACTTAACATTTTGAAACAAGTTTTATAGTTTTATTAAAGTAAATATTCAATTTTTTAGAATTAAAGTAAGTTAAAAAGTTATGAATAGTCTAGATTAGAACTCAATAAAGATTAGAGTGCCATTGGGAGGGAGAAAATTAAAGTTTTTAATATATATTTTTAATATTAAAGCTATATGATTAATAAAATTACAAGTATTTTCTTATTTTATTCTTTAATTTTTTTATTAATAGAAAAAATATACAGAAAGTGGAAGGTGCAACGTATCTTTCTACAGTTATAAATCACATGAAATTAATTATAAAGGAAGGGAATTATACAAAATTGACAAAAATTGCCCTTGGGAAAATTGAGACGGAGCTAAATTAAATTTTCGAATTTTCTACTTCAATTTAAACTATTTTTAGCTATTTTAAATAATAATAATGGTGTTAGAAATGTCAAATATATACCACACTCCACCTAAATCTTCAATGTAGTTCTTAAAAATTTCATGTGTTTTTTATGTTAAAATTAATTATAAAATATGCAAATTTGTAAGCTTTTTTATTTAAATTAAGTTTTAATTGCCATATAATTTATAAAAGTGGATACACATAGGAGTAACACCAAATTAACCTAACTAAATTCCTATCTTCATGAATAAATGAGGAATTTTAAGGTATTTTTAAAAATTTTTTAAGCTTATTTTTTAAATATTAACTTCTAAAACGTTTATAAAATATGTAAGTTATAATAAACGAGCCAGTTGAGTCGATTTAAGTAACATAAATACTGATAAATTGAAGGAATAATGCATTAATTTTCCCTCTACCTGATACATTTAAGCATGATTTTATTACGTTTTAAATCTTATTTTGATTATATTTAACTTAATTATGATCTGATTTTTGATTTATCTCAACTTAACATCATTAATGTGATGTATGGAGTCAGGATACTGATGTTGTAAATCATTAATACGTTCACTATACTGTATAATGCATAGATATTATGTTTCAGAAGGAAACTTTTAGTAAAGTTCTCATTTTTTAATAGATATTTTAGGTTAATTACGTAGAATATATATAAAAGGACAAGTTCTTGTAATTAGTTATACGTAAAATTCAATTTTAAAATATTAAATTTGCTTAATATATAGAGAGAAACGAAGATACACCATTCCAGCTTTATCACAGATTTCTCCATTATAAAATTGTGATGGAGCATTTTACAATTTATCTATTCTTAGAGGAAAAATATAGAAGGGAGCAAAATTAAATCCATTATTCAATAACTTATAAACATATATATTTCTCATAAAATTATGATCATCTCATTATCCATTACAGCCTTTTCATCTACGAACCGACATACAGACGTATACAGACCATATATAACATATGTCTTAATTCAATTATCGGCTACGTATATTAAATAATCAGTACAGGTTAATTAATCTTGTATAATAAACATAGCAATAATTGAGATCGGATGATAAACAAGAATTTTATCATCCTTAACATCTGCAAATTGCTGCTTTTCCTACTTTAATCTATAATTAATCTCAATTATTAAGGACAGACGTCTAAATCGAATTTCAAATGTTAATTAATAGTAACCTCTCTCTCTCTTTCCTCTCTCACTCTGTGTATATTGTGAAATATTTAACATTAACTTTATCATTAATCTGTTATATATATATATATATATATATATATAGAACTATAAGAAAATTAACTGCATAAAACTTTAATATATTCAAATATGCTAGAGGCATCTTTGTGTTACCTTCTAGCCCATGTTTCTAGTATGAAGAATGTGCAAAATTATAAATTCTTTCTCGATTACAGCACTAAATCTAGTAACAAATTATTCAATTATCCTGTTATCGAACCCTGGGCTACGAAAATTAGCACACGAAGTTATCCATCACGAAATTATACACCTCGAAACGGGACAATAGTAGGGAATCTATAAGGTCGCGTGATAGATAAAAGGCATGTTTGCTATTAATATGTCTATTGCCTCTGGTGTTTATTATTATCATTTTGTAGTTTGAGGTCTCACTCATAATTGTCAGCCTTTTTTCTAACTATCCCTCTTGGTGATTAAGTGTTGCTGCACCTAATCATCAAGAGAGTGAGCTGCAAAGGGTAGGTGTAGCTTGCAACTCTGACCCTTTCCATACTCATAGTGTCACTGGTTCAGCGTGTTTGGTGTGTGAATGCAGAATTTTGACATTTAAGTCATGGTATTTACTTGAATTATCAGGCTAATAAACTATTAAGGTGATAATTCAAGTAAATATTAGCCTGATAATCAGGCTTCAGACATAATCAACTAATTAATCAGCCTTGAAATCACAGGTGATCAGCCTGTTTATCATGCTTAAAACCATGCTCGAGACCTGTTAATCAGTCATGAAATCACATTAGAATGTTACTGTGTTTTAAGGAATTTTGAGTCTTATTATCCCTTTTTTATATGATTAAGTATAGTTTCATTAAGGTAGTGAGTTGCAAAGGGCAGTTGCTGATAGTTAAGTGTGTTAAAAACTGAATTAAGGGGTGTTTTGACATAAATTGCATAGTGCAAATGCAGAATTTTGATTGAACAAGGCATTAAAGATGTTTCCTAGTCATACACTTGTACTATATAAGTAAACTAATTGCTTATATATCATTTTTGTCATAGATTTTTCAATTGTCAGTGCAGTAAGAACAATCTGATACTAATTTTTGAAGCAATAGAAGCATAAAAAAATGAAGTTTTGAGTAACATTTGCAAATATTTAGAAATAAAAATAGCATTCTTCTACTCAGAACATCCGAACTTCTCATCATAAATAATGTAAGATTAAACAATCTAGTAAAGTGCCTTAACTTACAAAAAATGGCAACAAAATAACTCGACTAATATTATTTTATGTTGCTAAATTTTATTGGATTCCCTACTGAACTTTCTAGAATTTTCAAATATTTTTTGATTAAATGCAACATTTAGTAGTGTACAGCAAAAACAATTTACTACTTGAAAGTGATGCTTCAAAGTAACTCTTCCAAAAGTTGAAAAGATTAATGTTTAATTAGGCTTTAAAACATTGAAAAATTATTGAAATTTAGTGTAGAATTGTTACAATACATAAACTATGTTAAGCACGGGCACAAATTTGCAAAATATTTGCAAGAAACATTTGATATTTGTATTCATATGTCAAGTTTTTGGCTCCAAAATTTCTGATGTTTTATCCACGATATTCATTCCCCGGTGCAATTTTTAAAGAAAATCAATTTTTATTTATTTAATATAATGCATAAGTATTGCAAGAGGCAAAAGAGTTCAAATCTTCTTAGAAACATTTAATGTTTAAGCCCATGTGGCAAGTTTCTTACTCCAATAGTTCTAATCTTTTCTACATAATAGTCATTCACTCTTAAAAACTAATGAAGTCTTTTGTTCTTTTTTTTTCCTTTAATTTTTCTAAATCTAAACGATTTGAAACTAGAAAAGTTAAAAGAAAAAAGCACACACACACACATCACTTTGCACACTTATTATCTGATTCATTGTAGCATTCTTTAAATTGGATTTTTGTTCTTTTGAAACCATCACTAAATGTTCTTTACTATTTTTTCTCCCTTGTCTTAGTTGATTTTTTTAATTTTTTTTAACTTTAAATAGTGAAAGGAAACTGTCTGATAAGAGATATTTTTTTAATATATATTTTTATATAAAAAATAATACAGAAAGAATTAACACACCTACCATGTTAGACAACTGTAATGGGATTTTGATAAGATTCTGATAGTTCACTTGACAAGAGTTGTAATGAGTTTTCATTCAGAAATATATATAAATGTATTTTTTTTAATTTTAATTCAAAATTTTTGTTTATATTATTGTGTAATTTAATCTATAAAGTTTCAATTTTATAAATAAAAAATTGCTTTTTCTAATGTAATATCAGAAAACAAAGGGATGTTTCTTAGATAAAGAAGACTTTTTAGAAAATACTTGATCAATAATTAAAATAATTTTGATTAAAATAAAATAAGTAAATTCTAATTTAATATATTTTTTGTCCAGTTTATTCATTAAATATCTTTTATTTTGTATTTTTTTAAAATTACTGTTAAAGGGTTTAATTGAATTGTCTACATTTCTAGTTTTTTTTCTAAACTACCTTATCTTTGTTTTTATTTGGTGTTTATTTTCTTATCTTTTGTTAAATTTTTATGTTTTTGTTTATAGATTTTTCAAGAGAATATGAAGATATTAATACTAATAAAAAGTTCAATGTTGCATCATTCTCTGCAGCATTCTTTTTTTCTCTTTCTTTGATCCTCACACTTTGGGAGGATGCAGAGGAGTCGTTCTCATTCTCTGCGTCCTTTTAAATTTTAAGGATTACCTGTTTTATCAAACTCCTTCCATCTTTCTGCAGCTCTTACATCTTTATCTATCAATTTATTTTGGTATTTGCAGAAACGAACATTACAAATAGCACAAACTTCTTGATGTGTAGCATTAAATGTCACGAACAACTAAAAACTTCATGATATACTTAATGAACATTAACTTCTTTATATTCTTTATTATTTCTACACACAGTGATCATAAAGTTTATGTGTTTTAATGCATAATATGATGCAACATCGTTGATGAAATTCAGCAGTATCAATGGTAGTAGCAGTAAGCACATGGTATAAGAATGGAGGATACCAAAAATATAATTTATTTCAATTATAATTTTCAATATGTAAAGGATAAGGATAATTTGGAGCAATTACCTCTGCTAGGAAGATAAAATGGTAGAAAATATATCTTTTAGTTATGCTCAGTCAGGTGTGCAAATACTGTAAGAGCAATAAAATGATTGCAGTTCCAAAAATGGTTATTTTATATAAATATGAAGCCTTTGTTCATTAAATAAAGACTTGATATTCACGGAGAATCAAGAATATAAGCCTTTATTTATGACCATTTATTTTTGTTTATTCATTCTGTGGAGCATTAACTCTGTTGCTGCATGTTTTACTGTCTTTACTACTTCAATTATAGTATTTTCTAAATTTCTCTGACAGTATTTGCACTCATATATAGATATACAACGAGTGCAAGAAGTAATATTAGCATAAACAAGCAAAATATGAAGTAAAGATGATGAGTAAAGCGCACAACAGTGATACTAAAGATGAGTTGATTATTAGAATACAGATGCAAGAGTGATGAGTTTGTAAAGTTGAGATGTACTCACCGATTATTTGCAAGTAGATAATCGAATATCTTGTCCTAGCTTTACGAAAATCAACACGACACCGATATTCTCCTTCATCTTCAGCAACTAGAGATTCCATTTCAAGAACCGAAGGCTTTGATATAACTGAGAAGTATGCCCTAGACGAAAGATTGTCACTAGCAGCATGACGTGCTTGAGGGAGTCTCCCTTTACGAGCGTCCACACTGTATATAGGTGTAGTAGATTCGTCTTTGTACCACAAAACCAAATAAACTTCGTCTTCTTCCATAGGAGATGCGATATCGCAAGGTAGATCCACTTTACCACCAGCAACTGCTGATAAACTCAACAGGATATCAGGAACTGAAATACAAAGAAATCAATTGTTAAGGAGCACTTGTTCTATAAATTAGTACAGAAAATACTAAAAATAATTGTAATATATATCTTTTACAAGTTTACTGTTTTATCTATATGACATTTAGCAGTTAAAGTCATTAATTTCTTCACTCTCTTTCGAGGAATTTATTAGTGTCAATGGGCTGACAAACACTTAAGGATATAAGAATAAATTCATTATTAATCCTTATATTTACGTACAAATTAACAAAAAAGCATCGATATTATGTATTTACATTGTATTTTTTAAACAAAACTTTAGTATTTCATCTGTACAACATTTTGAAAGAGGATAAAGTATATGGATGTAGCATTAAATAGAAGAAGAAATCAGTTATTAGCCATTATTTTTATGTATAAATTAGTAAAGAATAAATAAAAAATGGTAATAATATATAAATTTCGTCTACAAGTACGTATTTTTCTAATATTAGGATTTATTATATTATTATATATCCATTAATAAAATTCTTACAATTTTCAAACTTTTTCTTTCGTTTTTAACTCCACCGGACATTCAATTTTAACCAATAACAACAATAATACTGTAAACTTAAGTCTGTATTAAAACAAATTATTATATTAATGTTTTACATTATATCTGTTTTTTACATTTATTTACTATTTTTATAACGCCCCTTCCTCTATGATTCTTAAAAGAATCATAGAGGAAGGGGCGTGTCTGAGAGATAAAAAGAATAATCGAAAGAAGTGGAAAAGAGGAGTAAGTCAAATTGAACAGGAAAAGATGTAAGTTGTAAAAATAGTAAATAAATGTAAAAAACGGATATAATGTAAAACATTAATATAATAATTTGTTTTAATACAGGCTTAAGTTTACAGTATTATTGTTGTTATTGGTTAAAATTGAATGTCCGGTGGAGTTAAAAACGAAAGAAAAAAGTTCGAAAATTGTAAGAATTTTATTAATGGTTTTCAGAAAATGTAAAATGTAATTTTAAAATTATTTTATTGTTTTAATAGAATGTACTACAAAAATACCTGCTGAAGAGGGACGAAAGAGTCCGAAACGCAATATTATGTATGTGTCCAGGTATATTAAATAAAACAAAAAATTGTTTTCTGTGAAACTCTGTAGCATTATCTGTAAAGCCAGTATAATAAGTCCTGATATTAGAAAAATACGTACTTGTAGACGAAAATTTATATATTATAGTAAGTCAAGGACATTGAGGCATTTTAATTAATTAAAAAATGGCAATATTTTTTCGTAATTTTGTAATGTTTCATCTACTTAACGTTTACTTTAAAAAGTAAAGTAGAAATCTATACCAGTTCAAGAAATTCAGTAGAATCAATGGATTTAAATAAGCAGCAGCAAACACAAGTACAGTACAAAATTAATTACAAATGAGTTTTTTCGTGTACAAATTAATACAAAAATATTAAGAAATCATAAGCTTTTCCATTTATATTGCCTGTACTTCTTATAACGTTTCATCTGTATGACATTTACCTATTTGAAAGAGGATGAAGTAGGTAAATAAAACGTATGACAGTCAATAACGTATACATTCCGATCTAACAATGTATGACGTTTTATCGAGTTTTGGAAAGAAGAAAATCCATAGAGCAATTTTTCAAATATCGTATCCGGACCGTCGGATATGCAAGGACGTCAATCAATTTTCGAACTGAAGCGTACAAATACGTGTTTTTTATGTATTGGTGAATGCATTGTCGTAAGCAGAAGGCAAGAAACGTTATAAATTATCATTTTTTTTTTACTTCTCCCTCTTCCTCCTTTAACTATTGAACTTTAAAAAGCTGTTCTTTAAAATCTTTAGGTCCTTTCCCCTTCTAGTTCCTTCTTATCTTTGTTTATTTTTATATATTTTTTTTCTATTTTTTAAGGGAAAGATGCGACCTGTCGCAAAAATTTAAGAAAGAAGCTTATTTAGGAAAGTTTGAAATGTCATCATTTTCTGAGTGATATAATACCAAAAGTATTTCAATACCTCTTCCCTCTTTCTTTGTATACGTTCTTGAATTAAATAAAAGACTTCTTTTAAAAGTTTAAAAGTACTTTTTTATGTACTTAATGCGTGATTGACGTTGTAGAAGACACCAGAAAATCGAAATTTTTGCTGAGTTCAAAGGGGGATAGAAGTTAAAATAAAGGGTAAAAGTCTTCCCCCTCTTTATCTCGACTTTCTTATCCCTTTATGCATGTAAAACACATAAAATTGTACATTTTTTTAAATGTTATAAAACAAAGAATAGGGTTGGAAGACGGCAAATTTATGCAAATTAGCAAGCAACTCTTACATTAATTTATCAGGATTCATCTACGATTATTGGTATTAACAAAGGTGTTGGTTTATCGTATATTTACATTATTAATCAATTTTCATACGATAATTTAGTGATTATTTATGCCACATATACAGTTTTGTACAGTGTTTAAGCATTAAAGGAAACTTTGTTACACACTCTAATCACAACTTCAACTCCTTAGAGGTGTAGAACCAACTAAATTTTAATTACTGTCTCTTCGTTATTAGCCTTTGCACACTCGAACTGTAACACAGTTAATGTTACGATGTATCCAAATAACAGTAATTCACATAACTTAAATGTAAAGCTCTCATGACAGATTCGATCACGTGATCGCCAATAATTACTGTACAAAAGTGGATCGTACATCACTATATTCAATTCCCTATTCTGACACGTTCCCTTCAGGAAATAAGCTTACAAATATTATTTGTTTTTGGAGTAAATTACTGTTTGATTAAAGTAAAGTGGTTATAAAAATGTATAGAAGAGCATTTTAAATTAAAGGAAAATACTTTTAAAATTACTTTCTTTAATTAATGAGGACCTGTAAAGAATGTTTTTAATTCCACTCCTTTCAGTAAAGAATCAATTGATTTTTTGGTGTTTTTGGCGTAAATATCTTCAGTTTCTATGTAAAGCGTAGCTCAGGAATGCATTCTGTAATGAGGACATGCACATAACTTCGTGTATCATCAACAGAAATTATGTAACTACGAGTTAACTATGTTACCTTCACGCTAAATAAGTAATTATGTGCAAATCATTACACCAAATATGTAGTTATGTGCAACATCACAGTTGTGATTTATAGTGTTTAGCAAATGGGTTTACACATTCAGAGCGATAAGATAGCACATAATTACATATTTAATATAATACTGCATGTCACTACATATCTAATATAATACTGCAGTGAATACATATCTAGTAAGGTGCTGCACATGAGAACATATGTAAGCGTGATGTTGCACACGAATGCTATGTTGCTACATACGCATCTGATATAACGACTGTACTAATATATAATTAATTATTTGGTGAGATGATATCATATGTAACTACTTAGCTTAGTGTGATGATTCTCTATATAATATGATATTTTCATACATAATTATATATCTGTTGTGATGATATCAGGTATAATTACATATCTAGAGTAATGATGTTATAGGTAAAGGGTAAAACACACAGAAAATCATGGACGATAATGCTACATATAGTTAATTATCAACAAGATATCATAGTAGAAGTACTTAACGATGTAATTACCAGCTTCAGGTTGTAAAGCGTAATTTGGAACCGTCTATTTAGCCTAATATCAAGAATTTATCGAATTGTTCCATGTATAAATACCATTAACCACAGAATAAAGATAGGTAGAACGGGATTTATTCCCTCCCCCTCTCTTAAGAGCATTGAATTCTATAAGCTATCAGATAACTCTTGATGATATGTGATGTGATTTGCAAGAGAAACTGCGTACAAATCCATTAGTTTCGAACAGCAGATGTTTCTTGTACTCTTAAGGCAATTCCGGGTGTGTTCAAGAGACGATATAATTATTGACAAGGGACCCCACCCGTTACGTGCCATTAGTTACGAAGCGCAGATAGGAATAATGACTTTTGTTAAATGATTCCCAAGCCATACAAATTCTAATAAATCGAAGTATTGGGCCAACCATGCGTTACTTTGCAACGTAACAGAGGAGGAGAGGGGGTAGAAACTCATCTAATCAATCATGGCTACCGTAAAGTTGTCTTATGAAGTACATTTGCTATCTGACAATAGTTAGATAAATGACTTTTCTACAGAAAAATTGCTTTTAATGTGTTTCTAAGATCTTAATTGCTATTATTTTTAAAAATATTTTAATCTCCCTTCCACAAAAATTCTGTATCAACATGTTCTAAACTTAATTTTATTCTAATACCTTAAATTATAGATATATTTTACATAAAATATCATAAAATGTCACTCAAAGTATATTAAAACTTCGATAATCACATAAATATTCTCATAGAAAACTCAGGATTTCCTTACAGAAAATAAGATTTTCTAGAATAAACACTTACAGAAATTCATTAATTCCTTATAAATATTCGAGATAATTAACTCTTTTGCAATTCAAAATATATTAAAATTTATGTATTTAAAATATTCTAGAATATTTCTTCATTATTTGTATATTTTCTTTCTGAAAACACGATTTTCTTGAATAGAAACTTGTTTTTTAAATTATTTTATCCTATAAATAATATTTTTAAAAAATACTTAATAGTAAACACATTAACTTGAAATATTGCTTTATAATTCTTAAATATTCTAGAATATTTTTCCACAAAGAACACATTTATTTACAGATAAAAAATTTTCTAGAACATATCCTTGAAGAGATGAATGTTTACTGAATCTTTTCCTTCTAAAACTTTAACTTACAAATAATATTTTTAAAAAGTTTTATAGAAAAACATTTATCAAGAATATTTCTTGAATATTCTAGATTATTTTTTCACAAAAATGCATATTCTTAAACCTATTTACTTGCTGAAAAACCAATTATTCTAGAATATTATCAGAAATTTCTCCCGATAATTCTTGATAAAAGAAGTAATACAGTATTAGAATTATATTCTAGAAAAATTTCAAGTACTGTACGTATT